ACAATTCAGTTCACTTGCAGCACCTCCATTCTGCTTCTGTTCAGTCTAGCAGTTTGTGCCCTTTTTGTTTTTCATTACCTTTCCCTTCTACGCGCCAAGCACGTCGAAAGGCCAAAGCATAGAAAAGGGATGGAATTCATAGAAATTAAGGGTGAGTTATGGCATCTCTTCCCTTATTTCCCTAATAATATCTTTTCTGCTTTCTGTATTTCTCACTCCTTTATTTGCTAGCGTCATCCCGACCAATGTCTCAAATTGCTGCGTTTTTAAATGGACATGTCAAGAGAGGTCTGTTTGCCTACGGCAGGAGCGCCAGCTTCATGTTCATTCGAACGCATAGTTATTTTAACACTTTCCGTAAATCGCGTTTACAGCAGTTGCATGGGCAGAGAGGTAGATAAAGGAACGAATAAACAGATAAACAGGTGGAAGAAGTAACCAAATGAAAACGCGGTGCTTTATCATAAAAACTGTTCTGAAATAACCCACCCTGCGCACAGCATCTCACATATTCGCATATTTCATTCCCTTTATTCTCTGCCTTTCTTATTCCTTTCTTCCCCTTTATTTACTCCTTTTTGCTTTTTAGCTGAACAATTGTTGTTCTTCGCCTCCCCCCGGTGAGGTGGAATCACCCATACTCTCTCTATAGTGAGGGGCAGGAATTTACGTAGGCACAGGATTAGAAAGATTTACCTAGAACTAACATTTGTCAATCCCATTCTATAGCAACATTTAGGAGTGAGACGCCAATTCCTTCTCTTCATACCTCAATCACCTCGGGAGATCTTCATACTTCATTTTACAAATGTGAAATCATCAGTAGACTTACTGGATCACGTTTATCTGCTATATCATTTGCCCAGTGCAGAAGCACGGCAATAAGCTATGCTAAGCTAGGCTTAACTAGACTGGACTAAACTAGACTAGACTAAACCAAGCTATTTGCTTCATCATTTATACTTCGTAGCTGCTTCCATCCCCAATATTCAAGTACTACTTCATTTGTCACTTAAAGTAGGGCTAGAAAGATGTTGAGGTAAAAGGAGGCTTTCCAACTTTGTCTCGCAGATATTAGGGTACAGTGTACACTGGTAGGGCCAAGTGATGTGTTCGGACAGACGAAGGCAGTGAAATCCTCCTGTCGCCTCTTTCGTACCCAAATTTCAGTTCAATGTCACTTCTGTGAGTATCTCATTCTTCTCCTACTGCATTGCGCCTCACGTTGTGCATCACTACACATCATCCTGCATCATTTCTCTATTGCACCTAGTAGATCTCCATAGTTAGATGCATTTGCATGCACTTACCTTCCTAAGTTGCATTTCAGTGAGGCCAGAGCTCCTTCCTCCTCCACCTCCTGTTTGGTTTTCCCATCGTGACATCCTCCGAAGCCAAACTTACTTTTCTCCTATCTCCTCCTCCTCCTGCATCATTCTTCGCCGATGTTATTTTGGTGAGTTCAGTCCACTTTTGTGTTGCATGTGTCCGCTTTCCCCTCATCCACTTGCCAGACTGGACACAGATTAGACTACTCTGCACTTTACTAATGACTGTATTTTACCACTCATTGCTTCTTGCTCTCTCATTATGACTGCATTCAGGTTTTCCATTTCTTTCTTCTGCTTCAGCTCATCCTAGACCCCACTTATTTAGTCTCCCCTCCCAATATACTCTTGAGAGGGAAGGTGAGTAACTAGATAAGTTGATAGATTGCAATTCTTTCGATAGCCGAACTTATGTTTACTCCATTGCCTACATCTATCCTTTGTCCTTTTAGACAGTCCACATACCTGGTCCATCACAGAATCTGGTAAGAATACGCACCTTCCTCCTAGTCGTTAGTCTAAGGTTGCTCTGTTTGTGTGTGCACGAGTGGGTAACTCGTTGACATTGTGCATTGAGCTCCTCCGCCCTATTTGCTTGCCTCATTGTTCAGGTTCATATTTTGCCATGTAGACAGTCAGACCAAATAGGGCATCGCAAAAACGAGTAAGAATGCATGCTTCTTCTGTTTGTTGCTTCTTATTAGTCAAAACTTTTTTGTGTGGCTGTATATTTTTGTGAGTATACGCATGTGCATTCATCTTCTTTTCTCCTTTAAACCCTTCTAGTCGACCAGTCATTCAGCTTCACTTCGCACCCAATAGAAACTTGTTCGTTAATTAAATTGGTTATTGGTTGATCTGTTAATTAAACTATTGATTTTTTAGTTTGGTAAATAATTTTGCCCTTTTCGCAGCCTTTTTGAGGACTCAGCTATTAAAACTGCCCTCCAATCTATCCACCGCCTACCTGGAGAGATATAAAAATGCTGAATGGCAGGAAGAAAAATGAGCAAGTGTGACAGGAAAAAGCAGTCTTGTAACTGCAAAGAATTATCTAGAAGAGAAAAAAGGGAATGAAGAAAGACGTCATGGGAATGAAGAATGATGAAAAGCGGCAGGGAAGATGGAGACAAATTGTGGCCCGAATCACCAAAATTTGGAGAAATTAGCACCACCATCGACAGTCGAACCCGACTAGAAACACAGTTATCCAGCCATCTCTATGGAAAAAGTGAATATAGTATGACATCATAGGTCAGGAAACCTGGATCATAAAATTTTCCATATGTGTGGGATTGCGTTAAGGCGTAATTCTTGGATCCGATTTCCTACGTAGCACTAAAGCAGTCCTGAAATTTGCGGAAGTCAACATTTCCATCCACTGAGAATCAAATGTGGATATTTCATGGTAAGGTTTATCCTCCATTTGCTTTACTGTTTCAAACCCTTATAAACTCTTTGGGGCATGACGTGCTGGTGCTACTTATCGTCAAACCGAAAGGAACGCGCATTACTTATTGGTGACTTAGGGCTCATGTAGGAGCATAAGCTGCACGTGGAAGTATC